TCATAAGAGCGTCTTGCCGTAGATTTACCTGCAGTTCAGGAGATGGATTAAGACAATGACATAGTTGAAAATCAGCATCCTTTTGTGCTTGACATATCAAACTTTTTTATACTTTAATCCTTCCGTGTCCAATATATAAGTGATTGGATGTCCTGATGCGCTTCTTCGTCACACATACTCTTGCTATTAATAAATGAGACTTCTATTTGTTGCCAAAACAAAGGAAAGCCCCGAACAATCTAATGCAATATGTAATGACAACATCTACAAGTGATTAAATAGTTCGGGGATTATCAAACGATGGTGTGCTCGATCAGAGCCTTGCATCAGTCCATATGGGAAGACAGATGGTTTGCCCAATATGTCATGGTCTAAATGGGAAGAATGTGAAGTGTTTTTAGCATAATCACCAACATCTGGAGCAAATACATACTGAAACAAAACCTCTGGTGGTGTTTTGTATTACTTTGGTTTTTCGACAGTGCTGACAGCTGATGTGTAATGATAGCTTGCTACCACGACCAAAAAATTTAAAGAATTCACTCTAGCTTCGAGACACAGTTAGATAAAACAAGATAATGCAGAAGATGAAACGTCAAAAGTACCATACCTGGACTGATTTGTTCAGAAATTCTGCCATAAAAAAAGAAAGATTGTCAATGCCTTAACAAAGACAGGCTAGTTTCTAGCATTATGAAAATAGAACTTGGACCATTCTGATTTGTAAGCAAGCATGAAGCGAACCAAAATGTCGTCAAAAATGCTTGAGCTTCAAAACCAATCCAATTCAGAGAAGTTATTACTCAAATTAGGACTACAATTGAATTCTAAATTTTTCACATGATACTGGAAACTGATATCATCATTTTGGAATTTTTGAATAAACAAACTTTTTGTTTGCAAGTCAACTGAGTTAAAGTACGGCAAAATCTAGGACATTTATCCTTAATACTTCTTAATAATACAGAATCGTTGTAAGCAATGTCACAGCCTCATGCAAGTACTCACTTTGGCAACCGCAGGAACCGAGCAATCCCAATCTGATTGTTTTCTTTTTCTTCAATGCAGACACCTGCAAGGCTTCCTAACCTCACTTCAAAGTCATCATCAAGTAGTATGCTGCTAGCTTGAATGTCCCTTTAAGATTCAGAAGAGAAGAATCAGAAATGAAGACCATAACGTCATGTTCTACAATCAAATCCCCTCCCTTAGGCCCCAACACCAGAAAAATTTAGAAAGAAAAAGACAAAACAGTGACATTAGGAATCTATCTAGATATGCTAGCACTGGGTTACCTATGAACAAGGGGTGGAAAACATTCATGATGGAGATAACATAAGCCCTCTGCCACTCCAGTTGCAATCTTCAACCTCGTGGTCCAATCTAATGATGGTAACTGGTTAGTGTCATCATGCCCCAATAAACTTCCCAGGTCCTTGTTAGGGGTGTATTTGTAAACAAGAAACTTCTGATATCCGTTCTCCAAACAATGCCCCAGAAGGGGGATCAGCCTAGAATGATAAACCATGCTGCAAATTTCCAATTCTGACATAAAACACAATTCATTCTCAGAGCAAGAAACATCGACTTGTTTAATTACCACTTCTGTGCCACCTTGCAAAACACCATAAAAGAATTTGCCAGAATGGCCATGCTTGATGAGATTGGAGTCACTCAAGAAACGTGTAGCTTTAAGAATTTGACTATAAGTAAATGAATCCCCAACTAATAAGCTCCCGAAGTTAAAAGATGAAACTTGGCCAGTCTGAGAACTGAAACTGAGAGATGGTGATCCTGATAACAGTGATGCTGAGGAAACATCACTCGGGGTTCTCAGAGCAGTGAGCCGGAGCTCCTCTCTGCGCAGAGTAGCTGTAACCAGCCGTTCCCAATTGTCATAAACCGCAGCCATATATGGTGATCAATCCCTTCTTCCCGTATAATTCTTGGTGATGAAAGACACCAAAATACTTGTATTCAACAGGATACAAACAGACTAATCCCACCCCAAACCTAAATTGTAGAAAACAGAAAGGTAGCATTGTGCCATGCCAGTCTCGGAGATGAAGTCACGCTGTATTATGGACGTCAGCCTGGTCCATGGGAGAACAGTAATCACAGAAAAAAATGAATTTTCTTTGTTCTTTCTCCAGTTGACTGAGTCAAGTTCAAAGCTTTACCAAAAAAAAAATTTTAAAAATTTAAAAATGTTAAGGTAATCTATTTTTAAACTGCTCGAATAATTTTGTAATAACATATAACCTTTGGACGGTGTTTATATAAACCTCTACATGCAACCTTTACATGTCAGCGTACAAAGTATAGATGCAGGCAATAATATTAAAACTCATATTTGAGGATGTAGCTCCGATTTATCATGATAGGATTTTCCTCGCATTTTTTCATACATTCAAGTACAAAGCTAATGGATGGATGACCAAGTGTCTGATATTAAGATGGAGACTGTGGAAGAGATTCGTCAAGGGTTCAGGTTTACGTTTGCTTTTGATTGTTTCCATCTACTCAAGTCTTTCTACTCTTGTCAAGTGTTCCTATAGGCTAACCCAAACCCAAAAAAAAATGCAAGCAACAACTTGCCTTTGTTATTGCCCAGCTGCTCAAGAAATATAGGGTCAGAAAATGTTTGAGAACTCCATCAACTTATATATTGACCCATCTAAAATTTTGAATGTCTCCTTTTTTTTATTTACATTTCCTCCCTTGATAAATTAAGAATTCTTAATTCTTATGCTTCATAAAGGTGTTAGATCTTATTAAGATTAGTTATTGATATAAATTCAAAAACAAACTCTTTTGACATTTTTAAACTACCACCACGTTATAGCGAAACTTAGATGTCAAAATATAATTGACATAACGGAGAAAGTATGTTTAACATAAGCATTTTTTTTTTGTTGTAAATTTGCTCTGATTATATTCGATGTGGTGTCCAAAGTTGAACCTTATGACTTTAGATCCTGACTCCGCCACTGATAAACTCTTTCCCAGTTAGCATAACAAGAAACTGGCTCCAATATGTCTCGGTTTACAGCAGAACAGAATTTAGTACAGCTTACCAAAAGAAGAAGATAGTGAACACGAAGTTCCCCGTGTCAGAAAATATATCAGATCTCTATAACCTTAAATTGACAAATGACAAAAAATACAATAAAATCTTCTCAATATCCAGAAAAAAGGTACCTTTTCTACGAATTCTAAGGACATGAGTGGTTGATTTTTACAACAAATTGCTGACTGACAAAATATCAGCACAAAATATCAATTTTGTTCTGTAGGATTTCTATCGCTACAAGAAAAATGGGCTCTTAACTACTTGTACGAGGCGGGATTGGAGAACAATGATTGGAATATAGTCTAAGGGTACAGGAAAAACATATATATAAGGAGCTGCTCTTTGAGAAAGCTAGTCCAGCCGCTATGCACTTATATGGAGTGGATGGGAACCACGGGATGGATATCCTTCATTCCTTGGTTGCAGACCACTTCCTCGGGTGGAGTTCATCTCCTGCCCTTTTCGCTTTTAATTGGCAGATTCAATGTTTTCTAGTACCTCCACAACTTGTTCCATTAATGGTCTTGACAAGGGGTTCATAGCAAAGACATTTTACGGAAAGCTGAGCAGTTAAAATTCCCATTCTGCATGCCCCAAAGCCTTTAAAAGAAATAAAAACATAAAGAAAGGGGTTAATATTAGGAAGCTGTCTTGACATGCTAGTATTAAGATACCTATGAACAAGGGGTGGAAAACATTTGTCATGTAGGTAGCATAAACCCTCTGCAACTCCAGTTGCAATCTTCAACCTCACTGTCCAATCTAACGACGGTAGTTGTTTAATTTTATCATACCGCATAAAACTTGCCAGGTCCTTGTTAGGGGTGTATCTGTAAACCAGAAACTTCTCGTGTCCATTCTCCAAGCAGTGCCCCAGAAGAGGGACCAGTCTAGAATGATATAACATGCCACAAATTTCCAATTCTGACATTAAACATAATTCATTCTCAACGCAGGAAAGATCAACTTTCTTAACTACTACTTGTGTCCCACCTTCCAAAACTCCGTAAAAGAGTTTTCCAGAGTGGCCATGCTTGATGAGATTTGAGTCACTCAAGAAATCTGTAGCTTTAAGAATTTGATGTTATGTAAATGACTCCCCAACTAATAAGCTCCAAGAACTTAAAGATGAAACCTGGCGTGGGTTTGAGCTGAAATTGAAAGAGGGCGATGCTGATGCAGATGATAGTGAAAATACATCACTCGGTGTTCTTAGACCACTTAGCCACAGCTCCTCTCTGCGCAGAACAGCAGTGACCAGCCTTTCCCAGTTGTCATAAACTACAGTCATCTTTAATTGATCAGTCCTTCTTTAAGTTGACTGGTGAATTGTTAGTGCAAGATCTTCAGATTTTGGCGTCAACACATTCCTTAAAATATGTATGGTGCTGTGTAATTAAGAGGATATTGAAGAAGAATTGATCAGTGTTGTTGGAGTCTTGGTTGCATCTTCAAGGCTTCAATCCCAAGTCTTTTATTAATCTTTGACTTATGTCCTGTCTAGTTGAATGGGACAAAAGAAAATCCCCCTCGGGTATTGTCGCGTAATAAGATATAAGAACTAATTCCAAGCCAACAGGTCCCTTTTTTTTGCCCCTTTTTCGGTTCTTGTTCATCTTTTGTTTAATAGTAGAAGTCTGCTTGCCTGGTTTTTTCCAAGTCAACATATTTGCTTCGACAATATCCAACATTAGCTAGACGTAAATACCAACTCTCAGTTTACAGCAGATCAAATTTAGTGCAACTTATCCAGGGAAGAAGATGGTAAACACGAAGTTCCCATTGGCAGAAAACAAATAGGATCACTACAGCCATAAATAGACAAATAAACTAATATACAATAAATTTTCTCAATGGCCACCGCCCCCCACCACCACTCCCCCAAAAAAAAGTTACATTTCCTACGAATTCAAAGAACATCAATTGGTTGATTTTAACCAAAAAAAAAAAGATCTGATGAAAGATCAGCTATATCAATTATGCTCATATGATTTGTACTGCTAGAAGAACAACATAATGAACTCTTAACTACTTGTAAAAGGTGGGATTGGTGAACACAAATTGGAAGTGGTCAAAGTGTACAGAAAAAACAGATAAAGAATGAGCTATTCTTTAAGAAAGCAAGTCCAGCTACTATGCACTTTTATGGAGTGGATGGGAATCATGGGATACATATCCTTCATTCCTTTGTTGAAGCGGAGAACTATGATGCAACTCATCAAGTGCTTCTGACCACGTGCAAAACTGTCTTGCAGAGGAGTTTATCTTCAGGCCTTTTGGGTTTCAATTCGCAGATTTAATGTTTTCTAGTAACTGCACAACTTGTTCCATTGATGGTCTCAATAGGGGATCATACATAAGACATTTTACAGCAAGCTGGGCCATTTCTACAGCACCTTTTGAAGAATATTTGCCTTCTAAGCGGATATCAATTATATTCTCCAACATTCTCCTGTTAGTTAAGTGAGACGAAATGAAATGATGCAGCCTGGATCTCGTAAACTTTGGATGATTCACACCTATACCTGTCAGCATTTGGACCAATACAACACCAAAACCATATACATCGCTCTGCATAAGCAAATCCCTGTTTAAAAAGAATTAACACAATTGAGACTACATCTTTCTCTCGGCATCTTGTGCAAATTAAACTTCTATAAAGAAAGTTTACTCAGAGCTTCTGCTCAACCTCGAGTACGTAAGTGACTGAGATTTCTGGTTGGATTACCTGTCGGATAATACTCAGGAGCAGCATATACATAACTTTCCGGGTTACATTTGATGGGATCTGCTTCATAGTCGATGTCAGGAGGATCTATCCTAGTCACACCATAACCTGATATCTTCGCATTGTATGCCTACAAAGAAATTGTTTAACAAGGAAATTAGGCTTGTCTTGCTAATATGGTGTCGTCAACATTAGTTAACAATGGAAATCAGCAACCTAAGTGTAGGCAGAAACCTCCAAGCTTTGGCAAACAAATTTATGAGAAATCTTGCTTGCAATAAATCAATATTTGTTGAAATCCTGCATCCAACTTACATCATCAAGCAAAATCTTTGAGGGCTTGAAATATCTATAGAAACCTTCTCCCATGTTCTTCTGGTTAAAGGAACCTTTTCTCTCTAGTGCATGTAAGAATGCCAGACCTCGGGCTGCTCCAATTAAAATCTTAAGCCTTATGTCCCATGGAAGTGGCTGAACATCAGAGTACCCTATGGAATCAAAGCAACACGAAATTGATTTCTTAGGATGGCAGATCAGTATAGCTGGTGGTAGACTAACTGAAATTGTTAAAATCAGAATCATAATCTACATGTAAAAAGGTGAGAGTCCAAGCTGCCTCTTTGCATATATTCATAGATAAGTAGTGGCTTTTCATTCCCCCAACAGTAGCCAAGGAGCTTAACAAGGTTAGGATGAGAAAGCCTTCCAAGTATGTTTAGCTCAGCCTAACCAAAAAAAGAAGGGGGAGAGAAGTGAAGCATTGGAACAAATCCGAAGAATTTTGCAGTAGACAAAGAAAGTTAAAGTTTCTTAACAGATCATAATTAGGAGGACTAATCTACTGGGTTGTCCTTATATCTACCTCAGAAGTGAAGGAAATTAATTACTGCAAAAGAGATAGCAGCATACATTTACAGAAATGAAGGTCTCAGTAAAGCATATGCTAGAGACTCAAATCAAAAGACTGGAGCAAAAATAGTGAAGTGAGGAGAAATTAGAGGAAACTGGATATGAAGTGACTGTCAAATATAAGTTAGTGACAAGTTTAGTGTGTATTACCTGCCAGTCTTTAAGTCCTAGCACAGTGTCATTGTAAAATCTTTTAACAGCAATTAGTGATTGAGTGCCACTCTTTGCGGTTGACTTATAATGAAGCAAACCTTTGTGCACTCTCCCAAATTCACCCTCTCCCAGCAAGGTGTCAGTTCTGAAATTTCTGGTAGCAATCTTGAGTTCCAAATAAGTAAAAGCACATAAACTGGGGCTGTCCAATATCTCTCCATTTGGCTTAACCTTTTCAGTGCCATTAGCATCCGAGAACTCATGGTTACCTGAACTGGAGCTGCCGCATGAAGAGGTAATGTGGTTGGACGGCGTTGTCCATCCTACAACATACCGATAAGCCCTTAAAATTTATAAGATTATCAGTACGTAATGAACTAAAGCTAGAAATGATCTTGTTCCCATGCTGTCAAAATCAAAACTAAAGGGGACACCAAAAACATATACAAGGAAAACTAATCTGGTACACATTGTATTTCATCATGCAATAAAATTAAGTTAGTACTCCTCTCTTTCTTTTGCATCGAGAAGTGGTAAAGAAATGCAAAAGAAAAAGGCAGCCAAAAAATCATCAGTCAAGTAAATTTCTTTTCTTGAATGCAAAAAGATATCAAAGAATTACTAAATATTAATATCAGAAGAATAGTTGCACCTTCTGATGTAGTGTTGCAATCAGATAAATTTACCTAGTACTTTAGATCCCTTAGTAATTTCTGGCCTTGTAAGAGCTGGGCCAAGTGAATTGGGATGACCAGCACGCTGAAGGTTTTTGACAGTGAAGGTAGCTGATTTGGTACCTTGTAAAGCCTCAAGTACTTCTTCCATTTGGGGCCGCTTAGATGGTGTGGCTCTGAGACAGGCCTTGGCAACAAAAGCAACTGCCCATACTTCCATCAAATCATGTGTGATTAAAGTTGGGTCTGCAATGTTTACAATGAGTTTCTTGTTGTCTGGATTAATGTAACGCAGGGTGTTTTCCATCCAAGCCTTCATAATTGAGTCATTGGCATCACTGATGCCCAACTCTCCTGTGATTAGTTCAAGTAAAACCTTTCCAAAGCAATATACATCGTAGGCACATGTTGCATTAGATGTACCTGGTCATTCAAGATAAGAGTTCGACTAGTGAAATCAGTTCAGCCCCTTAACCTTCTGGACTTTTTAATCAAACTTCCTCCAGATTTATATGTGAAGCAGATTAAATAGAATTGTTAAATGAACAAGAAGGAATTTGCCTAAAAAAGTCAAGCTTACTTCTGCACATAAGCAGAGGAATCAGCTTCTTAGGTTCTATACTTTTGCCTTTTAAACTCTTTCACAACATCACAAGAACACATTGTTTGAACGTTGTTTGCTTAAAAGAACATTTCTCCAGCTAATTTTCCTTTTTAACCTTTTTTTTTTTGTGATAGACCATGCTGTCTGCTTCTTTTTGCAACATCATATGCTATACCAGAATGAGAGAAATTCTTTTTGCCAAAAATAGAAATTCCACAGACAACTAATGGGAAAAGTAACCAAACCATCTGTCATTCTAAGGATATCAAACATTTTTAAAAAGTCCCAAGGTGGTCAAGAAAGATGGTTTGCCAAGTATAGTCTAGATGGCAATGGTGTCAAGTTTTTTAAAATTTCACTGACATAAGGCGGAACAATTCCTGTTTTAAACAGAGCTTCTGGTGATCATGGTAACAGCTTCAAGCCATCTTTGTATCTTTGGATATTGCTAGTGACCTCTCTCTGCTCTGCAGATGCTTTAAAAAATTGACCCTAAAACTAACAGTCAAGCTACTGGCATTTCAAGTAGGATAACAAAGAAGGAAAGTGCAGGATGTAAAAGTAATCTGAAAGTCCCGTACCAGAATTGCTTTGTTCATAACCCCTGCATACAAAGAAAATCTGTCAAAAAACTCAACAACAATAAAAACGAAACATTTAGAAATGAAGTCAAATTGGTCAAAAGAAAGAGGCTAGTTTTAATTTAATATGGTTGAAGTACCAAGCACATGAGGACTCAAAGCAACTCTCATAAATTACAATTAAGAAATCTATTCTATTTTCTCACATGATTCTCTGGATCATAGTTACTGTCAGCTACAGCAAGCATCAATCTATGCTCTCCCAAGAATAACCTTATTTGTAGATTTAAGCCAAGCAAATACTAACCTATGGCTCGATTTTTGTAAGTTCATCAATAAGAGAACTGCTATAAGTATCAATATAAAGTAAAAACTTACTTTGGCAACCGCAGCAACCTTGCAATCCTGTTCTGATTGCTGTCCTTTTCTTCAAAACAAACCTCAGCAAGGCTCCCCAAATGCACTTGAAAGTCGGCATCAAGCAGAAAGCTGCTAGCTCGAATATCTCTTTAAGAATCAAAGTGAAGCAAGTGAATTGCCTTATGATAATAATCCACACTCAAAATCCTTCCCAAGCCCTCAAAAGCGAAGATTGCCTGGAATAGATTTGGGATACCTATGAACAAGGGGTGGAAAACATTCATGATGTAGATATATAAACCCTCTGCAGCTTCAGTTGCAATCTTCAACCTTGTTATCCAATCTAACGGTGGTACTCTGCTATAACCCTCATCACTACCCGAGACACTTTCTCTATGCAAAAAATTGGACAAGTCCTTATTAGGCATGTACTTGTAAACTAGAAATTTTTTGTTTCTACTCTCGAAGCAATATCCCAGAAAAGGGATCAGTCTGGAATGATAAATCATCCCACAAATTTCCAATTCTGATATTAAATAAAATTCTGTGTCTACGGGCGACAGATGAAGTTTCTTAACTACCACTTCAGCCCCACTTTCGAGAACACCGTAATAGAGATCCCCGGAGTGGCCGTGCTTGATGAGATTGGAGTCGCTCAAGAAATCTGTAGCTTGAAGAATTTGACAATACGTAAATGAATCCCCAACTGATAAGCTCCTGAAATTTAAAGATGAAACTTGGCCGATCTGAGAACTCAAATTAAAGGATGGAGATGCTGATAATAGTGATACTGAGGAAACTTCACTAGGGGTTCTCAGAGCAATGAGCCGGAGCTCCTCCCCGTTCAGAGTAGCTCTAACTAGCCTTTCCCAATTGTCATAAATCACAGCCATGTATGATGATCAATCCCTTCTTCCTGTAATGATGACAAAAACTATTAATTGTGGAAATCTTGGTGATCATAGACATTAAAATGCTTGTATTTAACAGGATCAAATAGCAAATCCCAATTCCCACATAGTCAAAGACAGCAATCTCGTAGGCCAAAATCTGTGTGTTTATGTACGTCAGGGTCCACGGGAAACAATTCCCACAGAGTCAAAGACAGCAATCTCGGAGGCCAAAATCTGTGTGTTTATGTACGTGAGGGTCCGCGGGAAAAGTTAGAATCAAATAAAATAAAGAGCGCCTTTTTTCTTCTGCTCTTCTCCACTGGTCCAACTCAGGTTCAAGGCGTTGCACAAAAGAAATGGTAAATTGCTATGACGGATTATGGAACCTTCGTTGACATTTCACTCTTCTTCTTTGTCTTAAATTGTGACATTGATTTTCTCAAGTCCCAGTGGTAGTTCAGTCCAACGAAACAAAATAAACAAACCCTCCTTCCTCTCAAACATCCTGAAAATAAATACAAAAATTTTCAGAGATGAGGCTTTTTCAGTGCCGTAATACTATGGATTCCTTATAAACGAGGGGAAAAACTTTGAATATCAAACTTGCTGCGTACCTTGGAATATGTGGTATTGCAGATTAACCAGAGAATGCAGACTTATTTTCTTGCGGAAAAATATCAAGACCAGTTCCGTGGGAGTGAGGAATGTCCTTGCTCATTCCTCAGTTGGACTCTAGAGCCAACGAAGACACTGCTGACCATCATCAGCAAAGATTGTCTTGGTTTTCATTAGCAGATTGAATGTGTTGTATTAATTTTAGAACTTGCTGCATTGATGGTCAGAATTCAGGTCGATTCTGAAGCATCCTTTAGCAAATTGAGAAAATTCTTTGGCAGCTTTTTAAGGATATGCAGAAATGATCAGATAGTGAGTGAAGTAGACTGCGGCACAGTACCCAGAAGGTCCAAAAGAACACTTTTCATCTCCAAACTCCAAGGTGGAATTTGTGGCTGCACAGAGTCAGATTCTACTGCAAAAGAGGCAATGTTGTTGTGCTCCAATTCAACGCTATTCCACATTCCAGGAAAGTTTTATTGGATTACGTGGTCAGGTTTGAAATACTGACTGGGCCTAATCTGTCACCAAAGAGAAACAGGTCCTGTTCACCCAATTTAGGCGTTAGAACCAGGAAAAGATCTAAGCAACAAATGCAAAGTGAGCACTGAGCCAAGGCCGCCATCTAAGCTGCCTGCATTTCTTAAGCTGTGATGAAGCCAACCAAGCACAACCTCATCTGAGCTAATTCACACAGCTCAGGAGTCAGGGAAAAATCTTGGCATCAAATCCACTGTAAGCGGAGGCCATCATCTAAGTTGCCTGCATTTCTTGAGCTATGATGAAGTCACCCAAACACAATCTTACAGGATCTAGCTCACCCAACTTAGGAATTCGAACCACGAACCAAATCCACGGTGTGCGAAGGCCACCATCCAAGCTGCCGGCATTTCTTAAGCTATGATAAAGTTTCTATTTTAGGCGAGCTATGATTAAAGTTGAGAGTGAAAAGGAGAACATGTCCCAGGACGTGAAGCCAATTCATCGGCATGCATTTTTTTAATCTCCACCATTAGCCCATCTCGCCTTGTCGAGGAAACGAATGTTTATGCACTTTTCTAAATTAAATAAATTAAAGGAAGCTCTGTAGAAAGAGGGACAGGGGAAAGGAATCGACTGTTCTCTGATCCATCCTAAAGACTGAAGCACTTCCCATTCCGGCCCAATCGCTAGGAAGAACAGACCCTAAGAGAAACATACAAAGAAGGGAATTCTAAACGTACATTGGTGTATTAAACTCCTCTCCCAACAAAGATGGATATTGTCCGGAGACCAAAAAGTGTACTTGTCCTTTGCCCCACAGAGCAGCTACATTCAACCACGATAAAGGTCGGAGCAACACACCACCAAGTATATATAACATTATAAACAGCTAAAAGCAGCCCATAGTCAACAAGGAGAAATAAGACTTGAACAAGGAAATAAATCCTCGACATTCGAGTTTCGACCGTCTTAACAGAATTTCTATTAAGTAGCTGATGTTGCATGCATTGCTGCAAATAGCTAATATTACAATGTCCATTATGCCTGATAAGAGGTTTTCATAATACTAACATCAAATTTCGTGGGCAGATAGGATCCTCAATACACCTTCAGAAGAGAATCACATTATAATAAGTAGTCTCGCTTCACTAAGTATCAATGCCGGTCCGATGGCCATCCATCTTTTCAGTAGTAAGGCATGTAGCGCATTGGCCTTCTGAACCGTGGAACCTTCCTGACGCATGTAAAGTGCAGAACGGATGATTTTTCACCCAAAAGCAATAAAACATGAGAACTAGAAGTAAATGACCAAAACAGCATTTACCCATATCCATAAGGTGAGTAGAAATATGGAGGAACATATGGCCTCCTAGATCTGTAACCTAGGTAGGGATTGAAACGCCTTCCGCGATACTGCTTCATTCCAGGAACATTGGTCCTTTTGGCCATAACCTGCCAAAAATAAATAAACAAACAAATAGAGATTAATTATTCAAAAAAGGGCGCAATACATTCAAAAGCCTGGTGATTAAAATTTCCAGTAAACTACACAGAATGCAAAATTCCCACGAGTTTAACTACTAACTTGTGAAAGCATTATAGAGGTTTCTCCTCAATGACCAATTGGGTGAATATCAAATGTCGATATTATACAATTTAGATTTTAAAGTTGGTCGACAATGCTTCCATTTCCTTTAACCGGCAAAACCACAAATACATCTTTTGTTTGACAGACGAACGAATTGCCAAATTGCTTGGATTCTTGTGGGAGAAGGGGAAAAAAAAAGTATGTAGGCGGAAGGTGAGGCGAGGATTTTGAGAAATACAAGAAAGGGGAAGCATAATAAACCTTCAACTGTCGTCCATGGAGTTCAGATTCATTAAGAAGTAGAGCCTCTTGAACAGCTTCTTGCTCAAGGAATTCCACGTAGGCGAAACCCTTGGGCTGGCCAAACTTATCAGTTAATATAGTCACCCGATTAACTGTACCACATGATTGGAAATGCTGCTGAACCTCCTCGGGAGTACAAGCATAATCAACCTGAAAGTTGAGATTCGTCAAAAGCCATATTCATTATACAACTGCAGTTCAAGAAATCTGAAAAGGTGGTGGATCCAGGTGACTGAAAATGTGGTAAAAAAAAATTAGCAGAAACTTAATAGCTTTAACATTTACCCCTTGACTAGGCTGAAATTCTGACAAAATGAATGGTACAATACATAAATCATAATCAAGGAAACTCTAGATCAAAATCAACCTCAAAGCCATTGCACAAAATCAGCAACAACTTCTCCATAATCACCATAACCAACCACAGGAACATTAAATACAACATCCAGACACTAGTCTTTACACTAAATCATCTATGCCCAAAGAAGCAAGCAGCGGAATTTCAGGTTCCTTGGTTTTGACATGCTAACGACCTTATTTGTTCTACTAAAACAAGTTCCCAGGATGGATCAAGCAAACTCCACCTAGAGAAAAAAAAAAGATGAAACCCAAAAAAAAAAAGTTTCAAAGGGAAAAAATAACACTAGACTAAATCCCACCACATACTGCCATACTATGACTTTTAATACTCGTACTGAATTTGATACCAAAGCACTCATCAATTAAAAGATCTGGAGGTTTGATCCTAAGTAAATTAATCTTAATAAGAATTTAGGAACATTAACGAAATACTAATAAGAGAAGAAGGAACTTGGTAAAATTGGTCCACTGTTTTATTTTCATTGAGAAGATTCTGAATTATTTGCTAGCTTCATGTAATTATCAGCATCATAAGCAAGGTAAGAAATTCCAAAGGTAGAAATTCAAACTTCAATGATTAATTGCATTACGTTTTCCAAACAACAAAAGATTAAAAAGAAGAAGAAGAAGCTATTCCACTTAAATAGGTATGGAACTCCACGCACAAAATCAGCACTATATCATAGTACTGGGAAAATTTTTCCAAAGTCAATGATTGCCACTCCACTGCAATAATGCGAAAGATTTATAGACAACCTTTTGTAAGCGAACGGTCACTAAAGAAGTACAGCATATATCTGCGCCGCAACAACATGGGAAGGAAACATTTCTCAAAGGGTTCTTGAACATTGATCTTGGCAATTGCAGGATAACAATATCATATAGCTGTAGGCAAGTAATGACACCTCACCACATCAGGCTAAACACCCAACAACATGAGGTAACAAGGTCCACCACCAGCCAGCAGCAATCAAACTCAGCAAGTAGAATTTGCATTCCAACCACTAGACTTGGCTCTTTCAAATATGTGGATATGTCTTCCAAGAGGGTAGCCAAAAAACTCAAACCTCTAGATGTTACATAGGTCAACATCCATTTCAGCCTCCAACAGAAAACACATGTAGCAAGAAGTACACATACTCCTTCCTAAAAAAATAAAATTTCATATCATTTGCAAACTTCCCTTCATCTCAGTCCCCCATTCATCATCTTTTTTCAATGTATTCTCTTTTTTCCCTTCAATTTTTTACCTTTTTCCCCTCACAACTATTCTTACAATTGGCTTTTTCATTTTATGGGGAGATTCACAACTATTTATTTTGTATCTTCCATTTTTTTTCCTTTTTCACCCTCTCTTTTTTTGTTCAATCTTTTGTCTTTTTTCCACATACTTTTTTGGATTACAATTTCTTCAAATTAAAAAATGCAAGTACATTAACATCTATGTAAAAGTGCCTACTGAAAACCAGATGTGCTCTCTTTTCACCATCAAAATACAGGATAATAATTCCAGCTCTAATTCAGAATAAGAATGACCCTGCGATATAATCAAAGTCAAACATGACTCTCAATAATATCTAAATCCAAAACCAAGGTCACATTGAAAAGAAGGAAGGGACATCAAACCAAAGAAGAAATGAAGGAAGAACATTACTAAGAAGACCCAAATATCAAGTCACCGTTATAGAAAAAATTGAAAAAGTAGAAATTCAATGAAGGTAAATACAATGTTAGCAGCTCTATCCCAAAGTGAAATAATAAAGAAAGCACAAGATTGTTAATGTTTCTTAAGTAACTCAAAGACCAAACCCAAGAAGACAAATATTATAATAATAATAATTTCCTTTTCCTTCTCCGTTTACTTATTTATTTTGGCAGAGGAGAAGGGAGTGTTGAGTGTAGTAAAAACAGAACAACTTCCTGCATAAATTACAAACAAAATGCCACACCTTTAACCAAGAATGGCTTGGTTTGAACTCAACATAGTAGTCTTGCACTTGTTTTCTTAGTACTTTGACACTGCCTCAGACAGTGTCACCTCAGCCACAAAAATGTTACATTCCAGTTCTATACTAATATCGAATTTAGTCCTTTATGCAAAAAAGGATGGCCAATGCTGCATATTATCCACCATACATAACCGGGAAAGAAGCACCTATTCAGCATAAGTTCTATTGTACATGAACAGACATGTCCCATCATATGTAAAATATCATAATCTAGAAGAATTAGTTTCCTCAATCAGTCAACGAATAGTAATGCAGCAAGGGACTGCAGTACTTGACTGATGACATAACTAGGTAATAAGATCTTGAATCATCATCAAATAAACTAAGAAATTGGAAACTTGAGATAACTCCAAACAACATCATTCACCCAGGGGATAATGGGACACGTAAATTAAATGTAAATAAATTATCATTCATTATGCTACTCAAAAGTAAATCTACAGAAACTAATTCAATAACAACAAATTTTGTTCTCACATTGCCAACGAATATAGATCGTGAATCAACTTCCTCCTTGTTTGCTTGAGAAGCAGCTGCACTAGCTGGATCTGTCAATCCATTTTGAACTTACTATTAGATCAGTCTGAGAAAAGGAAGCTTAATAAGAGCAAAAACTAAAAAGTAACCATCAGGGCAAAGAGTTGATTCTCAGAATGTATTAAAAGGCAACAAATTTTAGTAAAGATGATACGGAGTAATTTGCACGCAAAACACAGAACAAGAAAGACTGAAAAGCCAGTTTGCGTCAAATTAGGGAAAAAGGAATGTGCATGTATTAATGGCCATGACTCAATTTGAAGAAGCCTCTTCCCAAAGAACACAACCTTTCCCCGCCCACCAGCCCCCCCCCCCAAAAAAAAAAAACAAAAACCCAGCGGTCCCCACCCCAAATTTCTTTCATAACCAACTTCAAGTCAGCAGTCAGAATGTTTGGTACAATAAAAGATATATATAACCAAAATCCTGAGCATGCAATACTTGCATATAAAAGGTGAACCCATGATAGTGAATGGCTCTGGATGGCTACAGATTTGATGCTTAAAACATGATCTTTTACCATTCAAAACTTGATCAACCAATTCAAGTAATGCATCAAGGACTTCAGAATGATTACCATCACTTGAGGCACTAGCGCCAAGCTATAAAATTTTAACTGAGAAATTTAGAAATTACTACACTACAGAAAACCACCCAGCACCCAAAAAAGAAGAGAAAGAATGAAAAATAAGTATGTGACAAGTTCTCAATAGCTCCAAGCCTATAACAAGCATACGCCAATAACAAAGACAAAATTATTTCAAGCTCCACGAGAGCAGAATCAGTGAATTTACAGTACTACCCAAAAAAAACCGTAACTCTTCAAATTTCTATATATAAACTTTTCCACAGTGTTTCAGCTTTAGCATGCATAAGACAATAACAAATTTGCAAAAAACAAAAGCTGTAAACAAATCAGTACTTCCTAAATTCTCTTTTAACTACTATAACTCTTACAATTCTAGTTTTTCACACAAAAACAAGAAAAAAGATTAAAAAGAAAAGCTTTCTCCCAAAGATTTCAGCTTTATTAAGCATAAGGTATTAGTCAACCAACAATAACTTTACCCCAAAAATTCAGCCGCTATCGAACGGAAAAATCTTATCATACGACATCTACCACTTCCGATGAAGTAAAACCTTCGATAAAAGCAAAACCATTCCATATATGCGCAGCGCTCATAAAACACTAGCGCTGATGCAATCGTATAAATAAATAAAAAGAAATAAGCGCATAGATTATACACCTTGAACAGCACCCATCTCCTTCTCAACTTTAGCTTGCATCTCGCGAAGAGCTGCTGCTTCTTCTTCCATCTCCTTCAATCGCTTCTTCATCTCATCCAATTCCTACAAAACCCTAACCCAGGTCAATTATCCAGATCCAAACTCACAACAACAATCAGGGCAGAAAGAAAACCTTTAAAACAAAAAACGGATAAAGTGACAGAGAGAAAGTAGAGAGTACCTTGACGGCGTCGTCGTCGGCGGTGGACATGTCGACATCGCCGCTGTTAGGGTCCAAATCGCCTTCCATTTCCCCTTCGTCGGGGATTTCACCACCGTACACCTCGTGCTCTTCTTCCTCCATCTCTCTCTCTCTCCCACTCCCTCGTTCTCTTCCGAAGTGATGTCTGGTCTCACGCGCCCTACTTCTATCCATACAGGCACGCACAATAAGTGAGGTGAAACGATGTCGTCCTCTTCTGGGGACCTGTGGGCCAGAATTAGTAATAGCACTGGCCACCTCCGAAGACCTAATTGGATCTGTTGGGAAGTTCGTGGCCCAAATGTAGCAAAGATATACCGGATTTTCCTCTATTTGGTATATTGTACCGTGTTTTGTTTTGAATTGGATTAAATACCCAAAAAAAATTTTTGTTCGTAAGATTTTAGATTTTTCATAACTCTTGATATCCAAATTATCAACCCATTTATATATGTTTTTACAAAGATAAAACTAAGGGTGCAAACGAGCCGAGCTCGAGTCGACCTTTGGCTAATCGAGCCGAGCTCGAGTTAATTTTGTGAAGCTCGAACTCAAGTTCGAGCTCGACGAGCTCAAAATATCGATCTCGAGCTCGAGCTCGAGTCAAATTCGAGTCGATCTCGAGCTTGAGCTCGAGCTTAAAAAATAAAAAAATAATTATTATTATTTTATTTTTAAAAAATAAAAAATAATTATTTTATTTTTAAAAATGTATAAAATAATAATTTTTTTAATAAATAATAAAATATTAGGGATATATGTAATTTTACTATTAAAATAAAAAATAAAAAATAAAATAATATATATAGTTGAGTTGCGAGCCAACCAGCTTAATATTTTTGAGTTCGAGCTCGAGATCGACTTAATTAGCTCGATCTCGTATTCGAGTCGCTTGCGATCGGTTCACGAGCGGCTCGATTCGCGAAACACCCCTAGATAAAACTATAAAAACTAATAATGCTAGTAGTTATTTTGCTTTTTTTTTTTGTGTCCTTAGGTTTGAACCTTTGGTTCCATAGAGGAAACTTAGAGGCTTTTGAGTTCTTGCTTTATTAATAAGCAAAATGCTTCAATGCCCCCCAAATTATTATATAATTCAATTTTGACCCTTCAATTATTAACTAGATAATTTTAACCCTCTAACTAATTAAAACGTATACTCGTACCCATTCCAACAACTTGAGTCGTCATGTTTAATAGAAACAGCATCACGCGCAAGATACAACGGATAATCAAGGGACCTTTTCGTCTATATAGAATATGGGCAAGACACTAAATATGGAGTTTTGTCACTGCTGTTCTACTTTTTCCTCGAAAACTTACCGGAAAACAAGCAGTATCACATCTAACCTTGCTGGAGTTGCCTTTCTCTCTCCCAGACACCAAAATACAATTCACACACCGAAATTCTAATGAAATTACTACAAAACAGCATAAGAGAAAAAAATAAAGTAAAATAAAAATTACCTCCCAAAATTTGTCCTTCTACTCTCCGATGAATTCATAGGCTCCAGCCAACTTTGGACTGGTTGGGATTTTTTCCATACGTAAAGGTTAATCAGTTTCTCCTTTTTTCACTAAGATTTTCTCTTTGGTCATTTTTTCAAACAATTTAAGAGCATAAAAAGAGATTAGCGAATCAAACATGCTAATCAAGAGCGACGAAAAGCAATTGGCATGTGACCTCAAAAACTATGAAAAGGAAATTTGAAATAGAAGGGGGAAAAGCCTATATAGTGCTATTGTGATGATGGTTCGACAAGTGGTGGTGAATTCCAACGGCAATAGAGATAGCTACAACTCCTGCGTTTTAGCTCTTCCGTTCCGTCTTCCTTTGGTCTTTTTTCTTTTTTTGGCTCTTTGTTCTGGTTTTTCTCTTCTCAAATTTTTCTTTTTCAATTTAGATGGAATTTAAGAGATTAAAATTCAGATTTGGAGGACTTTTGGAGTTTTTTTTTTTTTGGTCATATGAAGGGCCTTTACAATGTCACTAAAATGGGGAGGTAGCAGCCCCTATCATATCATTAGCTAGTGATTATGCCCTAACCACATAAAGCGGTGCTATGAAGATCAGCATTCTTGCCCTTAAAGATGGGCCATACATTTTTATAATTGAAGTTTAGAGGAAGATGCAAAGTGGAAGTGGAGGTCTCAAAACTGTTGATGATGAAGTTACATTACATGATGATGATTCTCAATGATAAAAGAAATGTCTGAGGGTTGGATTTTTTATAAAGAATCGATGGCCCTCATCCAAATGTTGATAACCGAGTTCAGGTTCCCTTCCCGCTCCCCACTTTTAAAATCCCACCCTTTCCCTGCTAAAAAGAAGAACCAAGAAAACAAGGGTCATTGGTAATAGTGAAAATGGAATATATTACATAGATTAATGGCAACATAAACAAAAGGGCGTGAATGCATAGCTCACGTACAGTTCACCATTAAGAAACTTGTACCATCAACTCAAAGGACAGGAGTTCTTGAATTAAGAGCCAGAAGACATAGATACAGCCATAACATACTCGTATTGGAATAAGTTCTGGATGCTTGGAATGAAGTAGCAGCACCTCATCTTAGTTTACAAGGGAAGTGAAGGACTACTGAGGTATTAAGGCAGAAACGGATTTGGAATCATAGCTTCCAATAACAACTGGATTTCAGACCTTCCTTATGAGAATGAATAACCTCTGATCAAGCTCAAATTTAGAGGCAACAGAAAGATCCCCCCTCAACATCATCAGAAGTCCACCAAAGGAAGCCAATATCTCCCTGAAAGCCAGCCAGAAAACCGAGTGACATCAGGTAGAAGTGCGAAAGAACAATGCTTAACTTGCTAAATGATTGTAATAAAAAAGTTCACAAACTACTTACTATACAACATATTAACTGATATATCCATGCCATTTATATCATTATATGCACACAAAAAAACCCATATTTTGGAACTATCCATCCATTTACCCATTTAATTATGAATTCATATCGTATACGCAGTTGATTCCGACGGTTCTCTGATAAGCAAATCTGGATTTATGCACGTCTATGAAAAGATCACATAATGGTTCATTATATATGCGAACAATATACACTGATTGAACATAGAAAAATATCTTCATATATACACTGTATTGTAGATCAACCCATTTATTTATCTTGTTTAGAATAGTGTCAATCTTATTATTTTTCATCTTAAGTCATACTAGCACCATTTTAAGGATTGTGACCAGATATTAAAAAGATACACATTGTCCTAATATTTATATTTTATTTAACTGGCTAATCTTTATATTTAGCTGACTAATCTTTATATGTAGCTTTTTCCCTTGGACTTTGCATCCCTCTTCCTTCATGCTCCCATTTCCCAAGCAGGTAAAATGTCATTAAAGAGGCAACAACATAGATTAATGAACAGGAACAGAAATAAAGGCAACATCCAGTAATTATTCCGTATAACCACTGGACAAGTTATGAGACATACGCTCTACGTTTCTTTTTTTCCTCGGATATTTTGTACAGCTTCCCTTGCATGACGTATTCATATCTGTCTGCAAGTGATTTCCTACCACCCTGAAATCAAAAGTACAAGGTCATAAATCAAATATTTCTTGTACTGCAGTATCGCATGAATGACAATCAAGAAGAATTAAAGCTTTGTAAGAATTTCAATAAAAATTATTAAACTTGAAGCAGGTATATTAAGCATCAGTTCCGCTCCAAAGGCAAATTAGTAAACAGTACACAGGATCATATTGAAGTCATTACAGGTATAATTTCCTTGCACAAAGATGTCATCAGGCAGTTCCACATATAACTGAAACTATTGCAACCATTAAGAAGGATAAAAGGAGTTGTAATATTTGTACAAAACAAGAAACAACTTATCCATTCAATTCAACCAAGCAAACACAAAGAAGAGAAAAATCATGTATTTTGTAAGATTGTTAAACAGAACATCTTATCTAATCAGAAAATCTTATCTAATCAAGCGTTGCAAACCAGGATATTTCCCTTTTGGATAACATAAGAGTTAAACTATAACTGAAAGTTGAATTATAGAAAATTTTCCTGGAACGACCCAACTCTTGTGTTGTGAAGCCTCAAAGAGATCTACCCAAAAAAAAAAAAAAAAACGCTAGACTAGAAGGGTTTAGATCCAAAGAAACTTCAATCTAGATGATTGATTTATGAATAATTAGGCACTTGCGCCACCTACCCCAAGATCTAGGGGAAAAAAATATGAGTAAAACATTTCAGGTAGAAAGCTAGTCTTGAGCCACAGAGTAAAATTGTCCAAAGCTATAGGAAGAACCTTTCTGCACAGCATCCAAAACCTAAACCTCCAACAATTCAAATTCAGGCTATTCAGCTATTTAATAGAATTTTGCCACTTGTTTGGACCCAAAACCATTTGAAAGTATTTAGTCCAATAGTGGGAATTAAAACTATTTGCAATTTAGCATTTGACAGCACAAGAAGTTGAACACAATTAAAAGAGCAAGATGCAATAACTTAGTAAGGAGCAGAGGCCCCCCAAATTCAACACAAGTCACCACGCACCAAGAGCATAGATCTGCAGTCAGGACCTAGTACAGGAAATGTAATTTTAAAGCAGGAATATATGGACAATAAATTACAGAAAGATTACCTGCACGAAATAACCACTATCTGGTGTTCCATCCAAGTTCAAAGTTGATGCTAATCCCATTAAGAACTTGTCACCCACGCGCATTGGGTAGATGTCTGTATTAATATCAAGATGCATGTACATGTCCAACTGCTCACTCTTAGCCACAATGCGATTAACTACATGAACATGATTGGCAGTTAGAATAAGAGAATTTCATAATCCATAAGCATGTCATAAGTTTTGTGAACATGTCATGCAACACTAAGTCCTGATCAGCAGGAAATCCTATCCTTCTAAGAAGTATCAAGCCCTATGTCATTGTTACCATGGCTGTGAATTTAACAGCACAGATCTGACTTAATCCACAGGAAAATCTATTTATGGGGTTAACATATCAGACGTGTGAGCTGCATTGAAATGACAGCAGAATCTGCTTGTGTGTATATTGGAACTAGCAACATTTCTAAAGATATATAAGCAAGTTGAAATCATGATAGGACTGACCTTACCCTTTTCTTTCCAGAAAATGTCCAAAATTAATTAATAGCAAGTAGGTTAATATCAACTCCAACTAAAAATAGATATATCACCTCCTTTTTTGCTTACACCTTTTATGTGGATATCCTTATACACAAACACAAGGAATATCAGTTCTGTTATAACGACAACACGTGGGTGTATAAATGAGCCAGAAGTGAAGTTACTGGTAAGGAAAATGAATTTTGTCTAGAAAAAGGTTCTCCATGTCACACGTGGAAGTAAAGAAGGGCCCACCACTAAGCAATCTTCCGCAGCCATGAAATACTAAATTGTTTTCTGGACGAACTTTTTTACAAGTCTAGCGCTACTCTACGTTTAATTCCAAAAGAATCTCTACATCTTCAATCCAGTTAAAAGCATCCATGAGTTTTTTTAGACTAAACTACATCCAAGCTCCAAAAGCTAGTCTATCTCCTATAAAGACAACTACTTGATGATAATCACGATAATTAGCTCCTCATCACCTAAACTTCTAAAATCAATAATGCAACCTAAACAATACAAAATCTAAAATTTACAGGATTAACAAAATGGTCAAATAACATAAAACCAACAAAATTCCACTGGTACTACAACTTTCTTCAACTTACTCTTCCAAGTAAAAAATTTTGATAGCTACAGTTTTGCTAATGAGCTACTTGGATGACCCTGATGAATAATTAAAATTTTATGCCACGCTCCTTTGATAGAAATTTTCAACTAGTAATTTGAGAATTCAACGGCAATACAGATAGAAACGAACAAGGAACTGCAATGAATTAAATTTTTCTCAGCTTCCCAGAAGTCAAATTATTCTAAATGGTTTCCAGCATAAGCAAATCAAAAGCATTATGGAATGAATTACAACAAAACAGGATGCCTATATGCACTGGCAAAAGCACTAAATTCACACCCTCTTTCCACAAAACGATTGAACTTACAACACGAGGCTTTAATATTGCCTAATTAAGTTTCCACCAATACACATATCAACATTAACAATCTATAGAGTCCTGCAACGAAGCACTTCTAAACTACACCCAAAAGCACACAAATTGAAGTCAAAATAAGACAGTTTAAGGGACACTGATTACAGATTAATAAGAATCAGCAAAACCTTTGTCAAACTTTTTGCCACCAGGGTCCACCTCTTGAACAGTGAATATATCTTGAAAAAGGGTATCAGCCATCCTCCTTTACTCTGAAACAGCTAACTGAACCTACAAAAACAGCTCAAAACCATGACTTTAAACTCCTCAAAAAATAAGCGAGTTAATGAAATCATAACATGGGATTAACCATTCGAAAAAACACACATCGAAAGAAGGGTTCTGGTAAAGGGATGGAGCAAAGCTACCTTTTTGAGCTAAAAATAGGAGATAATAGGGAAAACGTTTTTTCTTTAATTATTTAAGGTTTTCAAACCTAAGACTATACTAAAACTGCAACTACCATATCTCAGGAAAAAACCCAAACTAGTTTTAGAATTCCTTAAAAAAAATGATGATTTTGGGATACCTGATTGACGAGGGCTGCAGAAGATAGAACAGAGCGGAAATAGACTGATGAAGGGGGGGACCGAATGAGTGCCGTATTTAAAGAGACTGTAGAATCGGATAAATGGGTTCGGGTTATGAGTGGTTGGTGATGGGTCAAATTGTCTTGACCCATTTACGTGGTAAGTGGTGGGCCAAACCAGAATTGGGCCCAGTGTAGCTTTCGTGCGATCGGTGCAACTTTTAGTAGTAGCTACTTTTGTTTGGATGAACATGTTTTATAATCCTCTTTTTTTTTTCATTTCAAACAAATTTATAGTTAAAGAAAACATGTGTTTGGGTTGGAGATTATTTGAAATATCACTATAGTAATTTTTTGTAATATGATATATGTGAAATAAAAAAAATTAAAAATATAAAAAAATGATTGAAAAATATGTTTATGATGTAAATAAAATATTATTTGAGAAAAAAAAAAGTTATATCCAAACACTTAAAATTGTGTGCATACGCATACTCAAGATTGTTTTTAGAAATAATCAACTATCATTGAATCTTAAATAGGTACGTAGAGCACAAATGAGAAAGAGTTAACAAGCTTGAACTAAATAGAAGGGTTAAAAAACAAGTCTTTTTCATCTTGAGTACGAGAATTGGAAGTTTAATGTTTCCAATTTGCAAGAAGTTTTATGTATTCGACTAAAATGAACGAGCATTTGTAATTAACCCAATAAAAGTGGAATTCTTTTTAGTTTACTCAAAAATAATAGAATTTTTGCTTTGCGTAGTGGCAAAAATGTTGTTTTTATTTGGCCCAATAATATTAGAATTTTTTTGGGATAATATAAGAAACCTCCCATGAGGTTTTTTGAAATATCACTAAGCTCCCCCCCACATTTTGAAAATCTCTCCTACCACCCCTCAAGTGATAGTAGTGGTCAGAAGTCACTATGAAAATTCATCAATTGCCAATAATACCCTTGTTTCTGCTGTGGTCTTATTCAGCTGATAAAAGGAGAAAAAATGACAATATCACTAAGCATGCAACTGTATAAGGAGCGGGAAACCATTGCCGCCTAGAAACTGAGTTCCATACGTGTATCATGGCGCCATTTTGCTCTAATAAGACATCTAAGTGCCCGGGAAATGCCAAGGAATGAAATACTACTTATAACTATGATTGTTATTTGTAGCTTGGAGAACCAGTTGAAGCTATGTTTCTGGAAATCTCTTGTTGGATATTGCAGAGGAGGAGAAATATGGCACTTGAATGAATTGCATGCGTTCGGTGGGACTGAAAGTGTGATTGTCAAAACTAAGCTGCAGAACAGGTAAAAATCTTCCATTGCTGGTTGATATGATCAACATGTAATAGGAGAAAATACAGGTGTCATGAAGCTTTCTGTTTGATTTGCCTATAATATTTCTATTTTCCTTGTGTTTTTGTGTTTTGTTGGACTTGATGACCGAGTTTATAATCCAACCAGACTCTTTGTATGCTCTTGTTTTATTAAGTATTGTTGATGTTGGATGCTATAAAGAATGTGTGATTTGATGATGTATGCCTGACCTTTATAAGGTTGATGAAAAAAAAGTTGATGAATATTGAGTTTTTTGAAGCTGTAATACATAAGAAGAGCTTAGCTCTGTAGATTAAAGCTGCAATACATATGACAAGCTCTAAGTGTAGTGTATACAGTTGGTTAGTAGACAAAAGTGAAAATTTAAATGAAAAGCTGGTGAGGGTGATGATGTTCATGAAAGCTGCTATAAAGGTTCTGTTTTGCAACATGAGTTTGGCTTTGAATAAGCATGCGTGTGTTATAGCAACCTAAATATGTGATCCGTATAGCAACTGATTGAGACTTTTCTTGGGAGCACACTGATATATAGGATGGAAGAATTATTGCACATGATATTGTAGTCCATTACATGGAAAACACTGTCAGAATTCCTAATGTCGATCCAAAGAACTACCAATATATTGACTTTCTCGGTGATGTTACTGATAAAGCAATAAATGATTTGCCTGGAAATTTGAACATGCTTGTGCATATGAAATGTGCGATTCCTAGGATAACAGGCTTTATGGACATCAGTAGTGACAAATCAGTATCTTATATGTTCAAACTTCATGAGCAAGATCTTGTTATAAACTTGTATTTGCTGCACCTGAATATTATTCGTACTACAGAGGAGAATATGGTAGACAACAGAAATAACCAACTTCAGGATGCACAGAAAGACATAAGAGTCGAAAAAGCTCCTATTCCTATAGTTGACAGTAAAGGTGATGATGAGATTTATGCTTCTAGTTCTGATGACTCTTGGAAGGATGACATAGATAGTGACTTGGAATATGTCATAGCTAAAGATAGGGCCTTAATTTCTTCCAGTGACAAGGAGGAAAATGACTTGTCTGATTATGAGGAGATTGAGGATGCACAAGTTGTGCCTAATTCAGAATCTGAGCAAGAATCAGATCCTCTAAGAGCAATCATGCTATCAAAAATGTGGACTTACAATCTAAGAGAGGACATTGAGTTTAAGAAAGGGATGCTATTTACCAATGTGGATGCATTTAAAACAGTGTTAAAAGACTATGCTATTCAGAAAGGATTTCCATTGGTGAGGTTGAAAAATGAAAAGAGCAGGTGCACTGCCAAGTGTGGTGCTGAGGGTTGTAATTGGAGGATTCATGCATCGCCAGTTGCTGATACAACCACATTCATGGTTAAGACATATACACCTGAGCATACGTGTGTTATGAATAGAAAAAACTCAAAAGCAACACCAGATTAGATTGCAAAAAAATTAATTTCTGTTATGAGAGATCACCCAAAGATAACAAGCAAGGGAGATGCAGAAGCATGGAGTCTTGCCAAGTAGAATGCAAATTTACAGGGCAAAAAAGAAAGCCTTGGAACAAATAAAAGGCTAACACAGTGAGGCCTATGGAAAGTTACCAAAATATGCTGAACTTTTGAGGATTAATAACCTAGGAAGCATCATGAAAATTCACTATGATAGGCCAAACCTTCTTATGGAGTCTAAATTTCTGAGATTGTTCATAAGTTTCAAGGCACAAAGAGATGGTTTCCTAGCAGGTTGCAGGCCATTTATTGGATTTGATGGCTGCTATTTGAAAGGTGCATTTGGGGGCATTCTGTTGACTACTATTGCTCTTGATGGGAACAACAGTTTGTTTCCATTAGCTTTTGCTGTTGTTGAATGTGAAAACAAAGAAGTTTGGAGTTGATTTTTTTACTATTTTCAGGATTTCTTTGGGCCTTTTTCCAAACAATATTCCACTCACCTTCATGAGTGATAGGCAGAAGGTATGTTTTATGTATAAGATTTCTTCCATTGTTGTTTTGCATGGCTGTCAAGTAACAGAACATGAATTTGTTTCTGTCCATTCTCTGTATAGGGACTAAACCTTGCATATGAGGAACAAGTGCCACAAGCTGCTGCACGATATTGTGATTGACACATTTACAGCAACTTCAAAGTGAAATTTCCAGGATTGCTTCTAAGAAGAAGTTTTTTTTGGCAAGCAGCTAAAAAGCTATGATCTGATATGACACAATGAACCTATGGAAAGAATAAAGAATATTAACATAGATGCTTGGAGATACTTAGCAAACATTTCTAAGTGTAATTGGGCAAGGCATGCATTTTCTGTTGAAATTAAGTGTGATCATGTCACCAATAATTTCACAGAATCTTTTAATGTATGAGTTGATGAACTAAGAGAAAAGAATATACTTGCTCTGGCTGATGAATTGAGGCAAAAATTCATGAAGAAACTACATAAGAGGTATCAAAAAGGCTGCGCATGGACATCTAGGCTTACTCCACATGTTATTGGTAAGTTGAAGGATATTACATCTGGATCAAGAAAGTGTTCATTGACAATGGCAAGTGAGAACACATTTGAAGTAACAGATGTGGATAAGTCCTATATAGTCAAGCTGCATAAGAGGACATGTGAATGCGGGGCTTTCCAGTTGACTGGCATTCCTTGCAAACATGCTGCACTAGGAGCTATTTATAAAAAGGAGAAACTGGAAAGTTATTGTGATGCAGCTTTTTCAAGAGATCAATATTCGAAAACATATGCATTCATGATCAACCCAATTCCACATATGAATAGGTGGCCTCATATGGAAGATGTGACACCAGCAATAGTTTTGCCACCACCACTTATAAGAAGAGCTAGCAGACTAAGAAGAAATAGAAGAAGAGCACCTGATAAAGGAGCTCTTGCATCTCAACACAAGAAACCAATCAGTTTTAGGTGCTCTAAGTGTGGTGCATTTGGACATAATAGGAGAACTTGTCAAGGAACTCCTGTTGCTGAAAAAAGAGGCAGCAGTACCTCTGCAAATCAGGTAGTAAGTTGAAGAGGAAGACCAGGAAGAGACATTGCCAATACTGAATTAGCAGGATCTGTTCTATGGGTAATTGTAGCAGTTGAATATTTACAATAGCTTTATGTGTATTTGGGAATTGCAAATGAGCTTAGCTTTTTGTCATGATTTGTCAAGAACATGCACAAGGAAATGTCCCAGTGATTGTGTCAAGTCAAAGCAGTAATAAAAGCACTCAAAATCAAACTGCTAGAGCTAATGTTCAACTTACTCATTCTGCTAGCACTAGTACTAATACCAGAAAGGTAATGCTAATCAGAAATTAGTTTCATTACCTATTGCTAACTATTTTAACTGTCAAGACCATTAGTTTAATAGAATTTGTTGCATGGCTTCAGAGAGGAGGGCCAAATGCATGGGTTGGAACTACTGTTGCTAACAATAATAAGAGAGCCAGACGAAATGCAGCTCTTAATCCACATCAAACTCCAGCAGTCACTGCATCTGAAAGAGCTCCAACAGTCACTGCCTCTTCAATATCTACTCTGCAACTACCACTGGAACTCACAATGACAATAGCAGCATCAGTATGTGGTTCTAATTAGTACTAGTAATATGGGTTTTGCTTTGGGAGACTGATCTGATATAGTTGTATATGTAGCAATCCTCATCATCTAGAATGATATTTTTAGATGATGTTTTCAATTATTGTGGATTGCTATATACTTTTACTAAGTATTATTTGTACTGTATGCCAAGTACTTATATGCATTCCCAGTCCCAGTGAACAAATCTTGGACATATGTTTTGGTGCTATACGGTGGAATTTCAATTTACTCTTGCCAAGTATGCTCTGCTGCTATCCACAGATCTTGGAACATGATGACTTATTCCATTATGTATGGAATTTGCTAACTCCAACGTGTATGCTGTGTTTTTTTTTAACTCTATGTTTCAGATTCCTTACCATTATATATGGAAAGCTTACTGTTGTAATTGGAATGAACTTAGCAGTAAAGTATTGTTGTACTTAAGGAACTTCACCTGTGTGCTTAGAGCATTTTCTGTCAAGTATGACTTTTGGTATAACAGTAATGCAACAAATCTTGGGGGGCATATGTATGAAGTAAAATACAGTTTCAACTTATTTTCACATAGCTTAACATCATGTCCGACTTACACATGCCTTCTGACTCTTTCATGTATGACTAGTAAAGCTTCAAATAGCTTGGAACACATCTACCATTACTAGAACAAGAAAGTGTGATTGCTTTAACTATTTGAATGAAAAGATAAATTGCTAAGAGTAGTAGATTGATGATGAACAAGATGGTGATAATTGCATTTTATCGAGGCATCAAGTTACATTCCTGATTTGATGTCCTTAATGATAGCACTGCACGATCCACTTCATTTCTTTGGCTCTACACTTTTTCACCTTTATTTCTTTGGCTCTACAACTATTCACCTTCATTTCCTTCATACCACTGGAAGTAGTTGCACTTTGAACAACTAAAATATAGCTTATCCAGATTTCTTTCATTCTATGAAATTCGTAATGTAGCGTTGCGGTTGCATTTACAATACCGGTTCTTCATGCTTAATGATGAAGGTGATTTGTATAAGTGCCCTTTAAAGGATGAACTGACCATTGCTTTGCCAAATTACCTCTCCATCTGCCTTACTTCACCAACGGTTCCTTCACCTTTTAATACCGCTGGAAGCACTCAAAGTAGCCGTTGCATGTCCAACAATCATGCAACAGTGCTCATGCCAGAAAAATACTCTCCAATTCACATTTTTCACCTACTGCAACTTTCTTATGTCACTGTATCAGTCAAACTAAGGGTATGAAGGGAACTAAAATACTTTCTCTCCTCCAAAATACATTTTTACTTTTGCTTAGAGGGGCTGACATTGTTAAGAAAATGTCAATTCAAGGGATGGTAGGAGAGATTTTCAAAATGTGGAAGGAGCTTAGTGATATTTCAAGAAACCTCAAAGGAGGTTTCTGATATTATCCCAAATTTTTTTTAATCCAATAGCAAAAGTTTACGGGAATTTCTATGTTACAAAAGAGAAGGGGGAGTTCAACTAATTTTTTCATAAACACCAAAGGAGGTTAACCCATTTTTAGATTAGATGCGCGCACCATTGCATTCTAAACTTTTTAAAGAAGAGAAGCAGGAGAGGGTCAGTGTGATTGGGATCTAGTACGATTCGGTCCTATTATTATTATTATTATTATTACATTATTTGATATATAATTACGTTATATTATTGTATTCGAGATAAAAATAATAAATATAAATAAAATATTTGACATACATTCAATGCAATATTATAATATATTTATACACAAAAAATTTAAACAAATACAATGGCAGAAAAGAATTGCACGAAATACAATTGTATTGAGTTCTTATCCTGTCGGCACTATGCTCTCTCTTAACACACCCACGTTTGGATTGTAAATTATTTGAAATATTTTTACTGTAGTACTTTTTGTGATATGATGTATATGAGATAAAAAGATAATTGGGAAGATAAAAAACTGTATTGAAAATTATAATGGTGATGTTAACAAATATATTTGAGCAAATAATCTACTCATGAAGGGAAACTGATTTCGCATATCCTATGGGTTACTATCTATCTTAATTGTCAATTCCAGATCATTGATTTGAACTACTAATCTAGTGAGTTGTCAATTCCCAATCATGAGGACAAGGAACAATTATAACTCACTCCCCTCTCCTGGCCATTGAACTAAAACCAGTGGTTCAATAATACTAGTAGAATCACAGATTTTTGCTTCTCATGATCTTTTAAGCTAAAAATTAGCCAGAAAAGGCGAGGGTTTGTCTGGGTAGATAAGAGGCAATAAAGTGTTGTTGGGAATTAGCCCAAAAAATGCTTGAAAATCTTCACCTTGGGGTGCATGAGCAATAAATCAGTGAGACAGCCTGCCCAAGATAATAGCACCAAAAAGACATCCTTTCACCCTTTTCCATAAAACTGCTAATTAATTTTTAATTGTTGGTACTCTTTGGATCATCGGTCAACTCAACAAAGATTGACCCTAGGAGGTAGGTGAAATGGAAAAAATTGACTAATTATTTTAATTCACTTTTGATACTACTTTTTTTAATTGTTCAATCAGATAGAAAACAATTATCCTTCATTCTTTTTATGTTGCACGTTAAAAGAGCAAAAGAAAATACTTTAGTTCAGTTTAATTTTATCAAATGAGATCATTAAACTCTACATATTGGTTATTTGTGATTTACTAAATTTACCCATTAAGCACATTGTCTATTGTCTATTAAAACAAAGAAAGTTTAAGGATTTTTCTAACAAACTTATATTTTATACATAACTATCAATTATTACTTTCTCTTGTATTTATATATTTTTTTCTAATTAATTTCCTTGCATTTATACATTTTTTTAATTAATATTATATTTCTAAAAATATAACATCTGAAATATAACACCCGTCAAACAGATTGAAAGTTTAATTTCTTGTTGCAAGTAATATGTCTAAAAGACATCTTTAAAAAAAAAAGGTTGACTCGAAGTATAATTAAGTAATCAATTTTTATCTCTAATGTTATTGGAAAATAATCAAGCGGTGAACCCAACAACCTGTGAAAAAAACTTCTGAGTTCCCAAATGGTGAACTAAATTAACAACATTAAAACTGATAACTTTTAAATGATGAGATGGAATAGTAACATTGCAAAAAATTTCATATGTAGCAAAACTTAAACTGAGATAAGGTCATCCTCACATATGATTTAATTAATGTATGAATAGATTGGCCACCACCTTTAGTGTGGGATGGGAGGTCAAGGGTTCAACCTTTGCTTCCATCAAAAAGTTGTCACTTAATGTGGTTTTGCTTAAAATTCATGTAGGTGCTGTGCACCTGTATAGTCCGATGGTGATTTAGTCTCCATCGGTTCCCCGTGACCCTGTTGGATCCCTCCCCTAGTATAGGCTAGATTAGGACTAGGAGTAGGTGTAGATGTAGGCATGACAAGTGATAAAGAAAAAAAAAAGAATAAATTATTCGATTTAGAGTTTTGTGGTCCATTAATCATCATGCGCTATTTTTAACTTTTTTTGGTGGAGTAAATTAATGATATCAATCATTAAACATAACAATTACTCCTACAGCACAATGCTACAAAAGACCCGAGATCTACGCCTTCTCTGTATCCTACTGTCTCATTTCACCCCATTTCCTCTCCCTATCCCACCACACTGTTATCTCTGCCTTCACTCAGCACACTTTGCTTTACTCTTCTGCACAAACCCACAAAAACCCACCTTTTCTTTTAGCCTTTTCTGATGGCGAGTGGGGGTGGATATGGGGATGCAAACCAGAAAGTGGACTATGTCTTCAAAGTAGTCTTGATAGGGGATTCAGCCGTGGGGAAGTCTCAAATTCTGGCTCGGTTTGCAAGAAATGAGTTCAGCTTGGATTCTAAAGCCACCATTGGAGTCGAGTTCCAAACTCGAACTCTTGTCATTCAGCATAAGTCCGTTAAAGCCCAGATCTGGGACACTGCTGGCCAAGAACGGTATGGATTTGATGAACCTGTTAATCTGTTTTTCCCGTCAAGTTTGGATTTTTATTTGTGGGTTTCTTCTATTTAGATGTTTTGGTATGGTCTTGCATGTTTGGTTACTTTTATCAATGTTAAATCTTTTGTTAGAATTTTAAGCTCTCTGTAGTTTCAAGCTCGTAGTAGTTTTGTTATCTTTGGTTGTCTTGTCGGTTGTGATAAAATTTTGGTGTTTACATTGAATAGTAGAAGTTAAGTTGGGATTTTGATTTGCATGTGCATGATTGGTTGTGAGTGTGATCTCTCTGTTGCTGACACATGCAAACACACTGAAAGAAAAGAAACAAAGAAATCTTGATTTGGAGATCATACTTAGTGACAATTATCGAAAAATGAAATGAAATAATATGTGTATTTGGGTATATTTTGATGTTCATTTGTTTACGATATGAAAGCATT